AGCTAGGTAACCCCTTCTAGCACTGAAGATGTTACCTAGCTGGGTAATGAAACATTTACATGAAAACAACCAAGCTCAGAGAACCCCAAGGACTCCACAGTTCAACCCTGAGCTACACATATTCTCTTCTATTAGAACAAACTTTCTTAGCCTGACTGTGAAATTACGGAAACAAAGACATCAGGGAGGTGGTTGTTGTTCAAAATGAATACAGTGTCACAATCAAGGAGCCACATCAAAACTGTGATTCCTCTATTATCATATTCTGCATGTTCAATACGGTGTATTGTTGTAGTATTTATCATACCTCCCAGGCCTGGGCGAAGCCTGTTATCGTAACCATCCAATAAGCCATCAAGGATCCTAGTGAATATGGTAATGTTATCATTGGTGTCATATTTCCCTGAAGCTGTTGGCATCTGTGAGAAGCTGTTATAAGAAAGAATATAGAAACAACGTAAATATAATCAGTCACCTTGGCTAGAGGTTGTCTTATATTTTAATTTTCATTGAATTATTTAGATTGTTTACTGCTGGCTATCAAAGTTTCTTGGTGGTTTACGATGAAAATTGTAAGCATCTGGGTTTGGATAATGGAAGACTTTGCAAGGGGATTACAGAAAAATGTACAGTTTTAACTGCTTTCAGTTTTATAGAAGCTTTCTGCCATTACGTTCCACATTCCATTGTGCATTTGTTCTCCATTTGTCTCTTGTACATAAATATACATACCTATGCACATATTTTCCCTTATCATCAGCAGAAATTACTGAGCTGGAAACAGCCTCAGGAATCATCAATCCCTGCAAATTCAGGAAATGTGATGCTACAATATGCACAGTTAGAAGTTTTTGAGACTGATGAATAATAAAAACACTTTGCAACAACTTTTTGACATAATCTGTTCTAATGTTGAAGAGTTGATACCGTCAGGAACTCTATATAAATCCTTGAAGACCAGGATCCTAGACTTGTTAGTTACACTATTACATATAGCATCATGCCCCAAACTGAATGGGCATCAAACTAAATGGTCTTGATTACATGAAATGAATGAAGACAACTTACAGGCAACATTTGATTGCCTTTCCCCGTGGATCAGTTTCTCAATTTGGATCCACCATGGAGGTTGGACAATCATGTAACAATAGTGGCAAGGACAACTGTTTCTCAGCTTCAGCTATTAAACCAACTGTATCCCTGATCAGAGGAGAAACCTAGCTTTGGTGACCCACACATTGGTAGCCTCAAGTCTGAATTACTATATTAGAAATTACACTTTGTGAACAGCCCTAAAGACAGTCTAAAACGTGCAGCTGGGCCAGAATATACAGCCGCATGGGTAATGTGAATATCTCTTAAGATCTGACAACATCCATTTGACACAACTTCATTGGTTGCTGGTTGCTTTTTGAGGCCAATTGAAGGTGTTTCTAATGATGTATAAAGCCTTACACAGCTTTGGATGAAGGTTTTGCAGGACTGCCTAATCTCACAGAGTCTGTCCTGCACTATTAGATCATCAGTGCAGGTCCAGCAGGAGCTACATTTGACACCAGAATTAGCTGTGATTGTAGCATTATATTTGTCCAGAAAAATGAATAATTCTATAGTTATTTCTGGTTTTTTTCCCCACGTTGGGGTACAATTTATGGAACAAAGTACCATTGATGTTGAGACAAGCCCTTTCCTTATTGTATTTCACTAGACTTTAGGAAGGGGCTCCACACGTATCTGTTTACCTAGGCTTTTTAACTGTTTTGTTTTAACTCTGTTTTAACTATTTCAACATTTATATTTCTATCATATAAATAAAAAGCATTTTAGTGCTTTAATAGTTTATTATGGTTTTTTTACACTGTGCTTTTGTTTTAATTGTATTTCTGTAGCCATTCTGAGCTATTAATATAATAGATAGCATACAATTACTCTAAATAAATTAAGAAATATTTAATGCATAACTGGGAGGAAAGGCATGTCTCTACAATAGAAGCACACACTTTCTCTATATCTGATGTTGTACTTGATATTTTTGAACTTATACTCAAAAAATAGTCAATAAGGCCAAGACAAAAACTAATTTGATTAGATAGTTCATACTTAATTTAAATTAACTCAAGTTAATTGGATTATTCCACAGTTATGTAATTAATCATCTCCCTCTTTCTAATACGTGTAAAAGTACAATATGGTGGTATCTGTTAAATAACTTCTGAAGAATTACTCAAGCCTTTTGGGAGCCACATGTAGCTCAGGGGCTTCCGATTCTGTACCTCTGCTTTGAAAAGTATTCAAAAGACCTTCAAGCCAAAAACTTAATTATTACAGGATCTTGCAAGAATCAGTTCTCAGACTGGCAATGGTTCTGAAGACCATTATGTAAACAGTCAGATGCAAGTTTTTTCTCTTACAGGAAGATTATTAGAAAGAAAATCAGATGTACCGATGCACACAAGGATATATTGGTTCTAACCTGAAAGTGGTTTAGCTGCTAGCATTCTTCTAACTACATCCCTCTCATCTCAATAAATCTTGCTAAAATAAATTTTCAAGAATCTTGCTCAGTCAAGAATCATGTTTAGTTTTAGGCAGCTGCTAAAGAGTCTGACAGTTCTGGCCTTGGTTCAAGGCGGAAGCTGGAACTAGCAGTTATTAGATTAAAAGAAGGTTGTTTTGTACATATGTCTCAGCCCCCCAAGGCCATCAAGTGACCCAAGTATCCATTAATTTCTGAAGCATGGGAAAAA